AAGTAAGGCCAAATCGATAATTCTAAGGCTATAAGCTCCTAACCGTATATAATTTTAAAAGCATACACGTAGCAAATTCCATACGATCATCTAAGTTCAACTATCAGAATAGCATGACTAGCATATTGGGGATATACTTACTTGGCTCGGTTGATCACGCGCGTTGCACTCTCATCTTTTCCCTCTGTCGTATAAAAGCTTTTTAGTTATGTTGAAACAAATTTACTCTTTCCTTTAGTTGATCCTTGACACATCCCGAGAGTATGCTCCGAATCCCTCAACAATACAAGGCTCTGATACCAACTAGTAATGACCCAAATTTACAAAGAAATTTTCATTTTAATTAGTCAACCATTTTTCATAAAACATAAAATTTCCAATAATTGGTTTTCAAACCATCAACATTACACATTATTAATTTCAAAGCATCAGAGGTCCTCCAAACCAGATCAGAAAAGAAGAAAAGAGAGATAGAGTGACCGCCGCATCATCACGCCTTGCCTTTGCCCTTGGACTCCGAAGTACCTGAAACAATTCCACAGACGGTAGCTGAAAGCTTAGTGAGTCCCCAGAGCAACCCCGCACAAACCACATATTGCATTAGCTATAAAGCTACCTCTACCACATTACGCATGTCAATTAGCCATGAAGACGCTATCTCTCCGTTAGCCACAAGGCTATCTCTACCATCAGCTATGAAGGTTGTCTCTACCATTAGCCCTAAGGCCATCTCTTACCATTAGCCATAAGGCTATCTCTTACCGTTAGCCACAAAGGCTATCTCTACCACATATCATGCACACATTACATATCACACCTCTACTTAACAAGTAAACCAACTACACAAGATGGGCCGGCCTTGGTGCCTAGACCCATTGGTATGTGAGAAAACTCAAAACCTCTCAAAGGTTGAACTGGCAAACTGGATTCAGATATGCCTATGCTGCTCTTCTCAACTGCCTATAATCAATGAGTAAAGAACTCAGCATAATCCCAAAAATACCAGGGTCAACCCTGGTCAAAGTCAAGTCTATAGTCAAGGTCAACAGTCATATTGACCTTGACTCGACGAGTACAATCATTCACTCCTCGGGTTCCCGCTTAACTCATCGACTCGCCGAGTCACCCGAGGGACTCGTCGAGTTCCTTGGTTGTTTACGGCCGTAAACCACCAACTGTACACCTTGACCGTAAACCCTTGGTCGTACACCCTTGGCCGTTAAACCCTGGCCGTAAACGAGAAAACCCTCTCGACTCGTCGTGTCACTTGCACGACTCGTCGAGTCCCCAAAGTTCATCATGATTACGGTCCTTTCCAGTGGGACTTAAGGTCCCAAACTTTAGATCCTCATCTCCTATAGTAGATTTCACGTAAAGTACAAACTTTACGTGCATGTAGGGCCTTTCATAACCGTAAACACCAAAACTAATCCTCCAACAGGTTTTCATACATGGGGAGGGAATAGCTTATAAAGCATGCAATTTATGATATTTGGGACTAGTGAGGTTCAGATCTAGAACCATACCCTTGTGATAGGTCCAGATCTAGGCTTGCATCCATTTCCTCAAAGTTTGGTCATGAAACTCCCAAATAGAATATAGACTTAAGGTAACAGATTCATACCACATTTGATGCCTAAGACGAACACATGCTAGATCCAGTGTTTCCCCTTGATTCTTTTTCTCTAACTTGGATTCCTTCCCAAATTCCCAAAGTCAAGCTCTCAAATGCACACACTTCACATACTGGGGAGTTTGCAGCCGTACACAGTCTCTTATGATGTTAAGGGAGGCTGTAAGAGCATTTAATTGAGCTTATATCGGGCAAACCCCCAAAATTAGGGTTTTTCATTAACCAGCGTGACTCGTCGAGTCAGCCTTCTGACTCGCCAAGTCACTTCCGATTCGTGCCCCTGAAATACGACCCTACTCGACGAGTTGAGCTCCCTACTCGCCGAGTCCATACATGAAACTTCTCCATTGGCAAGTTTCCAACCAATGCTCAAACCAGGTGTTACATCTATAATCATCCTTATCTCAAACTCAGGTAGCAAAGCATAACACATTTGTCCTCTACAAATAACTGTGAAAAATATAAATCAAATTAGAAAGTTAAATTACATTATTAGAAAAGAAAAACTTTGACTTGCTTCAAATAAAAAGACTCAGAAGTCAAGAACTTACCTTATAAATTTTGACCAACTTCAAAAAAATCTAAAATCAAAAACATGTAAACTTCAATCACCGAATGAAAGTTAATATAGATTGCTGCTTCAATGCTTATGAATTCTAGAAAATAGGATCATAAAGACTGAGAAAAATGATATTCTTATAAATAATATCAGAAATGTAGAGATAGATAAAAAATGTATAATAGCTTAATTTGAAATCAGAAACATGTAAACCTCAAAAAGGGATTTTTAATGGACAAATTATTGCTTCAATCTTCAGAATTCGAGAAAACATGAATAAAGAATAATTAAAAAAAATCTAATTTACTTCTGAAGAACATCATAAATGTATCAGATAGATAGAAAAAATAAACAATATCATTTGATTTTTTCCCTTAGAATCGGTCCCAAATTCTCTGATTTTTTACCCTTAAATCAACAAGAAAAAAAAGAACATAAATCTGAAATCAGAAACAATGAATGAAACAAAATCATAAAAAAAATTGAATTACTTCTTACAAATCAGAAACTTATCAGAGACAAAAAAATAGAAATTGATTTCCTTATTCCTTCAAAATCAAGAAATTGATTTCCTCAATTCCTTGTTCCTCCTGAGTTCTGATTTTCGAAACTGATATCATTGTTCCTCCGATTTTGGAAACTAGTTATTGATTAGAGCGTAGTCAACCTTCTAAAATAAAAAAAATCAGAAATTATAGATAAAAAAAACTAAACAGAAGACGAAAAAGAAGTAACGACCCATAAAAAAAAATTGAAATACCTTAATCTTACCTTTGATTTCGAAATCTCAAACAGGTAAGAAACTTGAAGCTTCTAAATCGTTGCCTCCGATTGTAAACTAAATCATTGCTTCAGAGTTTCATGAAGAAAGAAAAAGGATTATGATTATATTTGTTGATTGCACTTTGAAATTGAAATCAACTGATGCGTTAAAAAGAAGCAAACAATAATACGGTTCGTTGTTGCCTGTCCAGAAAGATTTAATTCATGCCACAGAAATCGAAGTGTTTTCTTTCTTTTCCAGAAATTTCAGTTTTCCCGCTCACTCTGTCGACTGATACATGGATAAAAAGATTAACCTAATTTGTTTTGGGCAGAGGCTATTGTAAATGCTAAAGAAAAATTGGGCCCTGTTCATGGGCACTTCCTAAACTCCCCATGGGCCGGCCCTGATATATACACATCCATTCACTTATAGACATAAACAAACAGTTGATCTGTTGGTTAAGGCGTTGACTTATTGAAGCAAAGGTCTTAAGATTGATTCTCGCTCCTTACATATCCTTTTTTTTTACTTTTTTTTTTAAATTTTCCCAACTATTTTATCCCGCATCGCAAAACACATGTAAACTCAGCCATTTTCGTCTATTATATAAACATGTTATCCTCATGCTTCATTTGATATCTGTTCTGAGTCCCACATTGATTCAAGTATCAAAATATACTTCAACTTCATGTTTATATAACAAGTCTTGGGTTAGCTAAGGATTCGATTAAGGTTTGAGTTTTAAACCAAACCAGGGAAACCCAAGTAACTCAATTTTTTTTGGGATATCCCTTACTTTAATATTGGCTTCGCCACTGTTTTAATCAAATATTGTCAAAATCAGGATCTTATATATGATCGTTTTCCGCTTTGTAAGATCATGATCGTAAGATCCTATAAAAAACAATTTAAAACATAAAAATTTCATTTCACACATCTGTTAACCAACCATTTATCAAATACATCATTTCACGATAAACAATTAAAAATGAGTATTACATGTAGTTACTCTAAGAAAAAAATATTAAAAAATTAAATAAAAAATAGTAAAGATCCTCCGATCTTACGATCCTACCCCGACCTCACACAAAAATGATCATAGTAAGATCGAGATCGATTTACCTAAGTAGTATTATAGGATTATATGATTCTACGATCAAGGATCATGATTTTAACAACCTTGTTTTTAATATTATTTTGAGACATCAGGCTAAGTGGAGTGGCACTCGCCAAAGCCACTCGCCAAAGCCACTCGCTTAGCTCGCCATTGATGTAGAACACCACCCCCTAGCACTCGCTAGGGGGCTCGCCAAAGGAGAGTCGCCGTTCTCATAGTGTGAATAAAGAGAAAGAAGTGAAGGTTTTGATTGGGTTAGAATATTTACTTCACACATTTCAATTGTTTTTATATATCTTTTCTAATTTACTCCCTTTCACTTAGATACAAATTACAAAACACACCCTCCAATAATTTCATTATCTATTTCAAATATATAGATGAAATTGTATGTTAATAATCTTAATAATTATACAGTTTGCAATGTTTACTTTTATTGTTATGTAGGCTAGTATTGGTTTATTTTCTTAAAAATATATATAGATCTTAAATAAAAAATGTTTGTTTATTAAAATATAGTAATTAAATTAAATTAGAAAAATGAAAATATAAAAATAGAGTGCTAGGAGTGCTACCACTCCCCACCAAATGTTACGTTTAGATGCTAAAAGGAGAAAAATGAAATGTCACTTAAAAAATTGATGTGACAAGATGCTAAGAGTGTTACCACTCCCCTTAGTCTTATAATAACATAGTTTACATAAACAGCTGCACAAAAGCAAAAGGTCAAAACTTATAGCATCCGACCAAAAAACTTGCCTGTTTAATTTCTTAAATAAAGTTAAAGTTTCACAATATTACACCAAAAATAAAAATTGAATAGTTAAATTTAGTAAACAAGAAATTAAAAGACAATTAAAATATTGAAACAAAACTAAAAATATTAGATTTACGCACATTTTTTAAAGCTAGTAATTAATTAATCTTGATAGAATAATTACGAATTCAAATTATTATCTATATCTATTGACAATGACCCACACTCTGTATATACAAATCGGTGAAAGAAAATTAGACCACGGCATATCCAACGACACTTCTCATTCGGCCGGCTCATGGAACACATGATACAAAATTAAGCATTTAAAAACAAGCATAGACTTCAGTGGACGACTGGACTCCAATTTCGCTATTTGTTAAACCCATAAAAAAATGCGGCAACGTAGACCCCCATGAATCTGCGACGACTCCACCGGAAACAATGGCGACGATAGCAGTTATACTGTTGATATTACTCTGGATTGATCATCGGAAAACGCTCGCTGATTCCATTAAACAGCCGGAAGCGATTGGTTATGGGTATTCTCTCCGATCTATTGCCCTAGGTTCGTCTGGAAAATCATTGGTCGCTGATCTTCAACTGAAATAAGAAATCTTCGTTGTTTGGACCTGACATCGATGAGCTTCAACTCTTCGCAAGGTACTTCTGATTTCGTCAAATCTCAATTTGTTTCCAGAATCAATTATGTTCTGTTATTTTGTTTTCAAGCGGTAGAACAATCTAAAGTTAAATATTGTATTTATTTGGATATTTTTAACTTTTGTTCTAATTTTAGTTTTGAAATCTAAACTGTTCTTTAATTAGAAAAGATCGATAATCAATTCCTGATACTAACTTCGAATATGTTTGAGTTTCTCATTTTCTTTCGATCTCTTTATTTATTTATTTATTCTGTATATGAAATATATGAAATGAGTTCATTGATTAAAATCCAAGCATTTATTAAATTTATTTATTTATATATTGGATTTTATAGAAGGTATAGATTGATATTGTATTGGATTGGTTTTATCTATTTAATATTTTTTAGGGTAAATTGTAGGAATGGTCCATATGCTTTGGGATAATATGTGTGGTTGGTCCCTAATAAGTTTTTAACTCCGAAGATCCATATTATTTGTTTTTGTTGCGTCTTTAGTCTATCTTTGACCTAAAATAAGTTTTTTTACCCTTATTAGTTTCTTTTTTATCCAAACAAAATTTATTTCATTTATATCGGATAACTGTGATAACTAAAAATAAAATCACGATTCCGCCAAATAAGACTAAGAAAGTGACATTAACTTCAAGTTTTCAACTTATTTTTTAATTAAATAATTAATAATATTAATTGGATTTGGCTAATAGTATTAGATATTTATTAGATTAAAAATTGGATATTCAGTTGGATCGGACCGGTTCGGTTATCCATTGAATTGCCAAGATAATCCAATTACGGATCCAATCCAATTGATTTTGAAATTTAGCATCCGATCCAACCTAATTGCAATTGGATATCCAATCCAATTGGTCGGTTTGTAATTGGATGAGTCGGCTCCTATTGGATTGGTTAATTTCTACACACTTCTATAAAATAAGTTGGTGATTAATATTTAAGGTTCAAAAATCAAGATCTAGCCCTTGGCATTACTTCAAAGTCATTATATATATATATATATATATATATATATATTATATATATATATTATATATATATATTAATTTCTATTTCATTTTTGATATATTCCTTTAAAATTTTCTTATACACATGTTTTTAAAACTTTGGGAAAAAAAGATTTATTATCATCATTTTTTTCAACTAAATTAGACATTTTTATGTTATTGTATTGTAATCTAATTCATTGTTGATATGTTTTCTTCAGTTTTTTTATTGGATTTCAAACATGGTAATGTACTAAATATTTCCTTCCCAAGAACACACCTTGCTATAACAAGGTGTGAATGATTCAAATTTATGTTTTTTTTTAAGCTTTGAAACAGTTGATTGTTTGAGGGTTCGAATCATCGATGCTAAGAACCAAAGATGGGAAATTCCAACCCAAATCCTTCCACGCCAACCACAATCATTCGATTTGCCCCTAAAAATCCGTCAACAAATTCCAACAAAACTGCTCCTTTCAGATCCCACCTCCGACCTCATCCTAACATTGCACAACACCACCATCGGTACAATCACTCAATTCGGATTCACAATTGCCCGTCGCTCCACCGGTGATATACTCTTCGACACCTCCGACACTGTCCTCGTCTTCAAAGATCAGTACCTCGAACTAACATCTTCACTTCCTGCTAACCGATCCTCAATCTATGGTATCGGAGAGCACACCAAGCGTTCGTTCAAATTAGCGCACAATCAAACCCTAACTCTTTGGAATGCTGATATCCCAAGCACCAATCCTGATCTCAATCTGTATGGATCACATCCGTATTATATGGATGTCAGATCACCAGATTTTGATGGTAAAGTGGTGGCCGGGACTACTCATGGTGTATTGTTGCTCAATAGCAACGGGATGGATGTTTTGTATAAAGGCGATATTATTACGTATAAGGTAATTGGGGGTGTTCTTGATTTCTACTTCTTTGGTGGGCCTTCGCCTAAATTAGTCATGGATCAGTACACTCGTTTAATCGGACGACCAACTCCCATGCCCTATTGGTCCTTCGGTGAGTTCATTTACGTTTTAATTAGATTCTCCCTTCCAATTTGAAAACTGACTTATTTTGTTTACAAAATTAAGCTAATAATATACATATTGGTAATTGGTTTACAGGGTTCCATCAGTGTAGATGGGGTTACAAAGATGTTGAGGATCTTGAGAATGTTGTTGCTGGATATGCAAAAGCCAACATCCCACTGGAGGTTATGTGGACAGATATAGACTATATGGATGCTTATAAAGATTTCACTTTAGACCCTATTAATTTTCCTTTGGATAAAATGTCAGCATTTGTTAAAACTCTTCACCAAAATGGTCAAAAATATGTGCTCATATTAGATCCAGGTACTTATCCGCATCATTTTTTAATACAAAATTGTCTCTTATAGATTAAAAAAAGTCTAAATGCAAGAAATAGCAATGTACTCGACTACTTTCACATATTTGTTTATTATAGCCATTTAAATTTCTTTTCTTCCTATTACAAAATTGTACTTTCAATTATTATTCTTATTAACGCACTATACTTTAAACAAACTACCTAATTATAGCATTGTAGTTTCAAATTTTCCTTATTATAGCAATGCACATCGATTTATATTTGCATAACATTGCTACAATTTGGTAGATATTTCAAAATGCAATTTTGTAATAAAAAAAAATGAAAGTAGGATGCTATAAATATAATAAACAAATCAACGAAAGTACATTACTATTTCTTGCATTTAATTGTATATAAAACAATGTTGCATTGTAGTAAAGTGTGAATTTATATTGGTCTAATGGTTTCTTGTAGGTATCAGTGTGAACACAACATATGAAACATACATTAGAGGACTAAAAGCTGATATCTATATAAAACGTGAAGGAATACCATATGTAGGCGAGGTTTGGCCTGGAATTGTTAATTTCCCGGATTTTTTAAATCCAAAAGGAAGAATCTTTTGGGGCAATGAAATCAAAAGATTTCACAATCTTCTTCCATTTGATGGAATTTGGCTTGACATGAATGAAGAAGCAAATTCCATTTCCTCCCCTCCAATTCCCACTTCAAAACTCGATAACCCTCCGTATAAAATCAACAACTCCGGAATCCAAATGCCGATTAATAACAAAACCGTTCCTGCAAGTTCGTTGCATTTTGGGAACATCGCTGCTTATGATGCACATAATTTGTATGGATTTATGGAAGCCAGGTCAACAAAGGCATCTTTGGTCAAAATAACGGGAAAACGCCCGTTTATACTTTCAAGATCAACGTTTGTGGGGTCCGGGAGATTTACAGCACATTGGACTGGGGATAATGCTGCGACATGGGATGACTTGGCGTATTCCATTCCGAGTATTTTGAATTCTGGGTTGTTTGGGATTCCGATGGTGGGGGCCGATATTTGTGGTTTTTTTGGAAATACTACCGAAGAACTCTGTCAGCGATGGATTCAAGTACGGATTGTGAACCCTTTGTTTTCAAAAAAATATCTGAAAGCACAATTTTTCTAAGATTTCAAGGAGTAAATAAGATAGTTGAACATGTAATAATTTTAGGCTTTTTGAAATTACTAGGGTTAGATGCTATTAGATGCAAAAATAGCGACGTACATTCATTGAATTGTTTATACTTTCATTTCTTCCTATTCCAACATTGTACTTTGAAAACCTATCCAATTATATAGCAATGCCTTCCAAAATACAAAGCAATTTTCACTGCTATAATTTGGTAGATTTTTCAAAGTATAATGTCTTAATAAGGAAAAAATGGAAAGAACAATGCCTTAGTTAGTCAAACTACATTAGAAAAAATTGAAAGTACACTGATACAATATAAAGAAAGGAAACTAGGATATGCTATAATACTCAAGTATATGAAAGTATGTTGTTATTTTTTGCATTTAACCCAAGTATAGTATTTTACAGTTATATGCAAAAACTAGTATCCTACTTTTATTTATTTTGATAAATTATATCATCCTGTCTCCATTTTCCGTTTTCCTATTACAACATTGTATACCTTGGAAAACATGTTTACTTACAACATGATCTTTCAAATACAAAGCAATTGTCACTGTGATTGTAGTGTAAAAAAGCATAGAGAGCAAAATGTTATAGTTGAGTAATTTTCAAACTATGTGATTTGCAGTTAGGTGCTTTTTACCCATTTGCAAGAGACCATTCTGACATACAAAGCACAAGACAAGAGCTTTACCTTTGGGATTCAGTAGCAGCAACATCTCGAAAAGTCCTCAGCCTTCGTTACCAAATGCTCCCTTATTTCTACACCTTAATGTACGAAGCCCATTTTAATGGCACTCCCATCGCCCGACCTCTCTTCTTCTCATTCCCGGAAGACACCAACACTTACAACATCAGCACGCAGTTTCTCCTCGGAAATGGTGTATTAATCTCCCCTGTTTTGACCCCAAATACAGTTTCCATCGACGCATACTTCCCATCTGGAAACTGGTTCAGTTTATTCAACTATTCTGATACAGTGAGTGTAGAATCAGGGAGTTATATCACACTAAACGCACCTCCGGACCATATAAATGTACATATTCGCGAAGGGAGCATAATCACGTTACAGAGAGAAGGTTTGACCACGGAAATAGTCAAAGAGTCGCCGTTTCACATACTGGTGGTGGTTAGTGGAGAGAGAATAGCACCGGTGAGGTGTTTTTGGACGATGGGGAGGAATCAGGGTTTGGGGGAGAGGGTGGAAACTGGACGTTGGTGAGATTTTCATCGCGATTTGAGGGGAAAGTTGTGATTTTAAAATCGGAGGTCGATAATGGCGGATTTGCGTTGAGTCGGAAGTGGATTATCGAGAAGCTGACATTTATTGGGTTGGAAAATGAATCGGGATCGACAGGTTGTGATGACATGGGACAAACAGGAACATTGAAGATCTGTGGTGCTGGGAAATTCCGTACGGTGGAGATAACGGGTTTGTCTGTGTTGATTGGAGAAGGGTTCGAGTTCACGTTGGACCTCGGCGGCGGTGGTGCCGTGGTGATGAAGAAAAAATAAGAAAATTATAATTTTATAAAATAGTCTTTATGATGAATTTTGACACCGTGTATTTTACTTAGACTTGTGTAGTTCTGTTGAAATTAAGTAAAACTGTTGACTTAAACTAGATTGGTAACCCCGTTTCGCGGGGGCAGATGGACCATATGTGTTCCTACGATATCGGTTGTAACCTTTGTTCAAGATATTTCGTATCTATTTAAGAATCTGTTAATAGAGCAGATAATTATATTAGAGAATAAGGATCAAAAGATATCATTCATTAGAATTAGTGGTAACAGATAAATATATTAGGCGATAAGGATCAAAAGATATCATTTACAAAAGTGTCCATTCAGTAAGGGATGACTACTGGACATTTGATTACAAAAGAGTTGGTGTGGTATGCTTCGTCATGGGGCTTGGTGGTCGTGAATGATTTTCTTGCAGATGTGTGTTGATGCACTCATGTTCTCCTGCATCGCTTGGAACATGTCGAGCATGAGCACGGTGTCTTGGTCGAGGTTGTTGATGAAGGATTCGGTGATGACAACGTGCCTGTATGGCATTTCCACTGGAGCTTCTTTTATCATATTCTGCATTGCTTCGTTGATGCTGGTGTATGTGTTTTGGACCATGGCCAATGATTCCTTCATTGTCTCCAGCTGGTTTTGCAGTTTCTGCATGATCGCCTCCGTCTTCTATGTTTCGTGTTTGGTGGGGAAGCTGGTATATTTGGGGTGTGATTTTATAGGGGATTATTGTGCTTGTTGGATTGTATTTATTAGAGGCAATTAATTCATATTCTGGGAAGTTATAGATGTAGGGTGGCTGCGACTTTTTTTTCCTTTATTTGATAGATGGGATTGTTAGGTATCGGTGTGGTATTAAATTGGTAATATCTGGGTATATCTTTGACTGCACATGGTATATTTGTTTTGGAAACTGGGATAATATAGGATTCGTGATTAATATATGTGTTGTCTTCAATAAGGTTTGTAGCATTTATATGTATTTGAATATAGAAACAGTGCAATACTTGTAAATTGTAATTTGTAAATTGTAAATTGTTGTTGTATATAAATTTATTGAATTGTCGTCTATATTGGTATGATATTAAATATGACTATGTTATTGTATCCAAAGTATTGGATGTCGTCAGGCCTATGTTGGGAACCCCATTATATATTTAAAGAACTATATATGCTTTTTTTTTTGTGAAATTTTGGAAAACTGGAAGCATGCAAACGGTCTTTGTTTATTATTTTGTTTATATTACATAGGATAGTTGTTTATCATGTTTGCTACAAAAGATAAAATATTATCCGAAACAAAAGTTGGATTTCACAGTGTTGTTTCCTGGTATCTGCTATTTTGAGGTCCGTTTTTGAATTTTTGTTGGTGGTGGTCCTGTGATAGGAGAAATAGAAAAGTGTTGGTGTTCGTTTTGGTATTTTGTTGTTTAGTTTTGATTTCATTACATCGTCTTTTACCTGGTGGAGTGAAGGTCAGGGTGCGTGCGACAGGGCGTGGAGGTTCACTTGCCTGAGGTGTTCCGTCATCTGATCGCATTCTTGGCATCCGTGTTTGGCCTGGTGTTGTTGGAACAGGTGACTCTGGTGGTGTTGTTGATTGTTGGATGTCAATTATTATGAAACGGATGTTGTCGGGAGTTGATGCCCTGAGCATTTGGATAGACATAGTTTTTGTTTGTTCTTTTTGATCGGTGATGATTGAAGGCAGGTTGTTTCTGTTTGTGAGCGGGTTGTTGGATATGAACTTTTCAAGCGATGATTTTAACAGCTTCTGACATGATGTTTCAGAGACAATCGCAGGTATGGTGTCCGTTGTGTCGGTAATGGTGACTGTGAGTTTGTATCTATGCACATGAAGAACTTGTAAGTGGTATTGTTAGTGAATAATGGTTTTCTGTATGATTCAGAGGATGCTTACGTGTAGGTTGGCTTTTCAATGAGTCCATGTGCACTGCAATACCACTGGTCACCTCTTCTGAAAATCGGATCTTTACAGATTAGACATGTTGTTTGGTACCAAGTGTTTTGGAAGTGAAATTCCTTGATTGAAGCTTGTACTATGAAAGTTTTATCCTATAGATAGAAAGCAATTGGTTGTGAGAATGTGAAAGGGATTGTATTTGTAAATAGTAATATCATTGTTATCATCTTACCAGTAGATCGGATCTGTTTTTCAGTTTCATGTCGTATAAGGTTGAGGGAGTTCCTGATAATGCTGGTATTGGCCTTGAGGGTCCTGTGAATCTGAAACCACGTTGTTGTTGGTATACAATTTCAATGATATGGATTGTAGGATATTTGTGTAATTTATGTCACTTACAAATTTATGAGTGATGTTGTCTCCGGTATATTTGGATTGACATAGATATGTGTAGCATGTGATGACCCGTGTCGTAATGCTCCTACATGGAAGGTATTTGGTGATTAAAGGCATTAGAAGATATGATGTGACAGTGATAATACACACACACACACACACACACACATATATATATATATATATATATATATATATATATATATGGAGGTTTGTAGAAGAGGGTACCATTGGATTTTTATGGTTTTAGGTTCGTTACTGCAACAACTGTTGTCGTACATGGGCGATCTAGGGAGGCACGGTTGAATTTATGTGTATTTGTTATACATTCTTTCCATAGATTTATTGCAAGTTCACTGCCACTAATGGAATTTGGGTTGTTTTTTATGTTAGATGGTGATGATGGAATTTATGTGTGTGCTTTGGTAGTTAGTATATATACCTTTCGTCAGTTAGTATAAGTAAGACAAACGGTTCTCGATTTGCTTTTGTGCAATCTCTTACCTTCGACAGAACGCCAACGAAGTCTGTTTGGAAGTAAATGTAACAAATGTTGGCACGGTTAACAACTACCAGAGTCTAACAAATCAGAAGAAGAAAGGCTACTAAGTATTTTTTTTAACTCTGCAAATATTTTTTTATGGGTTCAGTTTTTTCGGTTTTCCTTTTTTTTTATTTTGGAATTTGACTAATATACCCCTGCTGATGTTTTGGGCCAAACAACAAAAAAAAAAAAAGAGCTGGGAATGACGAATACGAACTATTTGGAAGTAAATTTTTTATATCTTTGAAACCGATTGTTCACAGTTGTGTTTTTTTATTTTATTGAATTCGGAAGTTGACAAATATACCCTGCTGATGTTTTCAGGAAAATAACAAAAAAAGGCAGAAGCTGTGAAATGAGCAATACGAAGAATTTCGATATTTTATACAAATGATAACAAATTCAAATTTCCATTTCGGTTATATGGATGGCACAACGAATACCTGGATAGTATGGTGGTGCTTCTCCGAGTTCTATCAGATGTGACTTTGATACGAAGTGAAACCAGGTTTTTGGAACTGTTATTGTGTCTGGAATTCGCTGTATGATGGACTTGAGGCCAACATCAATATAGAAGTCATTTTCGAGAACTTTTTGATACTTGTCTAATTGAGGACAGCTATAATCTGATATAATGTAACACTCTGAAACATTGGAAACATATTCAATGTAGCTCTGATTTGTTCGCTGTCCAAGAATTTGAATTGCATCTGCCTGTAGGAACATATTATTATAACATTAGATTCAATGGTATTACATGTCTTTTTATTCTTGTAGAATTGTATGATCTGCTAATCATATGTGTTTATTTGAGCAAGAAACCGATTACTTTTGTGAATATTGAAGAGTGATAATTAAGAATTTCCTTTCTACAAATTTCAAATTTGTTGAAAATTTGAAATTCGAAACCTATTTTTGTTGTACTTTTATAAACCGTTATTGTACATGTTTTTATTCTTATAAAATCGTATCTTCTTGTAAGCATTTCTGTCTTATTAAAGGGCATATTGGTTGTTTTTGTGAATATAATAGACTAATAATTAATAATTTGCTTCGTACAGATTTCATTAGTTGAATAATTAGAATTTGAAACCTGCTTTTATCGTAATATATTCCGGTGGGAACTTACAAATCTGTCAACAGTCAGGTACCAGGTCTCGTATTGCCGGACATCGTGCTTCCATTTGCGTAGTATTCTAACATGTAAGGGGCCTCCGATACCCTCAGCTTTCTGTTCTGAGATACTCGTCATGGGTTGTTTGTGTTCTCTAATATAAAGAAATGTGTAGAGGTAAGCTGGATATTTAGATGAGAATATAAAATTCTATAAACATGTAAGAAGTCTTCAAATAGTGAAGAGCATATGAATAAAATGAAAAGTAGTAACGATGTTGAAAGGTAGGACAGGCAGTGATACTGTAGACCTCAGTTGAAGTAACTTTGTGTAGTAAATCTTTGAAGACAACATTTTTTGTTTCGTTGTTTTTAGTTGTGTCACTGCTGTTTATTAGTATCTTTATCGAATCTGGTGATGTTGCTCGGGAGAGGGCAACGTAAAGCTGTCCATGTGCAAATACGGGCTGTGACAAATAGATTCCAATCTTACGTAGTGATTGACCTTGACTCTTGTTGATAGTCATTGCGTAACAAACTTTCACTGGAAACTGTTTTCGTGAGAAGACGAATGGCAGATCTGATGACTTATGTATGAAATTTATGCGTGGTATATACACACGCTTTCCGATGGAAGTGCCCGTTATGATGGTCGCTTCAATAACGCTTGGTAACAATTGTGAAACAATCATCCGGGTACCGTTGCATAAACCTTCCTTCTGATTTATGTTTCTTAAAAGCATTAGCGAGCAGTCTACCTTAAGTAGAAGCTCGTGTGGTGGTATTCCTAGAAAGCTTAGTTGGTTTAGGTATTCGATTGGATAGAGGCCTTCCAAATCCGATGTGTGTTTTCCATTGGGCTGCATGGTGTCTGTGCTATTGTATACCCTCGTAGCTGTTGTCACCATTTTCAAAATGTGAGTGTTTATCTCGTCTGCTGAATCATTTGTGGGACAAACTATTGCTCTTGCTGAAAGGTGTGTGGCAGTCGGTTGATTAAGTGTACCATCCCCATACACAAAATCTATTAAGGTCTGTAGGGAATTAGGGGAAGGTGATATTAGGAGTGAAGATGGAATTTGTATCCAACTTGAGTCCCGTGGGTCATCTTTGTCAGGTACACCTATATGTCCATTACCAATAGCTAGCAGCCATGTGGCAAAGTCGGATAAAGTCATTGAGCCGTGGGGTATTGTGTTAGAGGACTCAAGTCTCATGTTCGTATGTAAAAAGTGAATTATAAAATATGTCCATAAATACGAACTTGGTAGAGTTAGTGCTATAATTTCTGAACGTGTGCTCTTTGGTAGAAATAGGAAGAGTTTGGCGGAAATCACCACCAAGAAGTACTGATATGCCTCCAAATGGTTTTTCGTCGCAGTCTAGCACATCTCTAAGTGAACGGTCCAAAAATTCGAAGCATCTTCTATCACTCATTGGTGCTTCATCCCAGATTATGAGTGTTGTACGCTGCATAAGATCGCCAAGGAAAGTGCGTTTTTTTATATCACATGATTTTTTGTCGTTTAAATCAATAGGTATTTTGAACCTTGAGTGTGCGGTTGTCCCAGAGGGTAACAAAAGCAATGCGATTCGGGAAGCAGCAACAGCCAAAGCGATCTTCCCTATCGATCTCAAATAGGAAAGAATAGTTGTCCATAAGAATGTTTTACCAGTGCCACCATGTCCATAAACAAATATTAGTACTTGTTTTTTGTTCTCTATGGAAGTAACGACTTTGTTGTAGACTGATCGTTGGTCACGATTTAGCTTTGGTAATAGATCATTGTGCTGTTTCCGTAGTCCTTCCTTATCATAACTCATTTCTTCCAATAGTAGTCGATTTCGTAAAACACCAATAACATCGACTGACGGAACAGGAAGACCAAAGTCTGCCATTGAGTTAGATGGGACAGCAGAACCGGAGCGTGTCATCTAAATCATGAAGGAGTTGTTGTTCAACAATCCCAGCAGCAGAGGTAACCGTCTTATCTGGTACTTCGGCTCTCAGGGTATGTAAGTAGTCATCTTTCATCCTATCGCACGCAGTGTTCCACAGCAAAAGTGGATTGCTAACCTCACAGAAAAGGAGTAGATGACAGAAAAGTGATCGTAGCTGCGATGCATTTGCCCACGTTGAAGCCTCTGTGAAACATGTCAACCACTCGACATCATCACCTATCAATCGAAGTGCATTACAGGCAGCCCTGAAAGTTGGATAGACAGTACCGGCAACAGTACGCAAATCTTCAAACGATGTACATCCTTTTTGGTGACACAGCAGCATCTGTAAGTAGAACAACTCTCCAGATGTCAGATGTACAAATACAAGGCGGCCTACCATTTTTGATGATTCATAAACCCTCCGATCCCAAGATTTACTCGATTTATCCCATTTGTAATTTTTTGGATAATCCAGATATGTCAAATCATGGCCTTGAGGGTCCCTTGAATTGCTTTCAAACCACCCAAGGAGGGTAGTAATGCTAGCATATGGATTAGATAATACTTCAGGTATCGAGTTGTCCCCATTGAACACCAATTGTTGCATGTTTTCCTCATGAACGGTTAGAATCTGAATAGGTGGATGTCGATGATGTATGTGGAAGTCCAATATCCGCCATGCTGCCTCATGTGGACATATATACCGCCCATCCAAAAAATTTTGGACCTCATTTATAGGACGACACTCTTCATTTCCAGATCTGTCACGACTACCAGTAGGCGCTGAACTGGCTGATGCATCAGAAGATCCCTGCTTTTGGATAGTATATCTGACACGATCTGCACCTTTGGAAATATACTTAAATAGGTAATTAATCATCATGCTCCACCCACAGTACTCAACATTTATATGTGCACGGAATCATGAACAAAGCCTTTTGTTATAGGGCACAACATATCCATTATCAACAATCTGTCCATATTGAGTAGTGTGGTGTGCAGTCGAGCTACGTTTGTAGCGTACATATCCGTCCGTGTCAAAAAATGTAGCATGAAGAAACGGCTTGGTGAAGTGTTTACTACATTTACCTTCTTTCATACATGGAGCTTTTTGGTTAAGCGGTCCACATGGACCATGGATCATGCAGGTTGTTATCGTATCGTACAATTCTGCCTCCTTAATTGGATCCGGCAACTCGGCTGTGATATACTTGTCAACATCACTTGCAATTTTTATACGGTCCGTAGCTGATACCCAGAGTAAGGTATGACAATGGGGAAGCCCTCTTTTCTGGAATTCAATAGTGTACAGATCTGCAATAATGTACATTTGAAAAGGATCAACAATTTCGAATACATTTGTTATAAAGGATGATATGAGTATGAGGTGATGTTTATCTTCTAAAGCATCGAATATCTAAATCATAAAGCAATGACATTCATATGGATTGAATATGTAGAAAGTGATAAAACATTGCCAATAAGAAAGATAAGCATGCAGGGCCAACAGCAGCAACTTCTCCATCCAGGGGTAATTTGGGAACAACATATACAAAGTAAAAGTGCATGTGATATGTGCAGACAGGGGTAGAAAAATAAACGATATATGTGCGTTTTCGTTGATTGGGACCAGACCAATGAAAAATGAAAACAAAATCTCAATTTAAAAAAAAAGTACAAACAGGGGTAGAAAAGGTAGCATATGTACACATACGTAGCTTTCAAAATGGGTATGAACCTGAGTAGCAGACAAACACGTGCATACAGTGGCAGGACCACCAGGTTATGAATGCAGAGGTAATTTTCGAACAACATATACAAAATGAAAGTAATGAACAAAATACAACCTCCTCTATAGGAAGGTGCATGTCATATAACAAAAATTCAAAATTCAATTAAATTTTGTTTTATGAAAAATAATTTTTATACATAAATGATAACACTCCAGGAAACAGAAGAAACATTTAATCCGATAAACATACATATCATATAAAAGCTTAATCAATAATTTTTTTAAAAAAAACGAAATTATGATACATCAGTCAGCAGCTACCTGGAAGCATGGGAAACACATGGCTGCAGTGACAGCAGCGGGAAGTTATCAATGCAGGGGTAATTTTGCAACAACAGATACAAAATCACATGTTTGCAGTGGCAGCATCATGAAGTTATGAATGCAGGGGTAATGTTGGAACAACGGAATACAAAACCAAAATAACGAAGAAAATACAATCTCCTCTATAGGAAGGTGCATATCATATAAAAAAAATTCAAAATTCAATTAAATTTTGTTTTATGAAAAAACCATACAAGGCTGTTGTTCCAAAATTACCCCTGCAGTGTGTATGTGTGTCTGTGTGTTTGAGTTTCTAGATAAAGAAGAAGACGACGGGATGAAATATGTGGGGTGGTAACAGGAGGGTATAATGGGTGCAGGGGTAATTAATATTTTTTTTTTTAAAAAAAACCGAATTATGATACATGACTCAGCAGCCACCTGGAACCGTGGGAAACACATGGCTGCAGTGGCAGCAGCGGGAAGTTATCAATGCAGGGGTAATTTTGGAACAACAGACACAGAATCACATGTATACAAAATGAAAGTACACTTCTATACGAAGGTGCATGTCATATAAAACCTGTTAATATACTAACAAAAAATCAAAATTCAATTACATTTTGTTTTATGAAAATTAATTTTCATACATAAATGATAAGGCCCCTGGAAACAGAAGAATCTATTAATCGAATAAACATGTGTATACAGTAGCAGAAGCAGCAACATATCTAAGCAGCTGTAATTTGGAAATGATCAATACAAAATGAAGATAATCTATAAAAAGCGACCTACACCATAGAAAGCTGCACATCATATAAAAGCTTAATTAAATTTTTTTTTCTTAAATTGGGATTATCAACCATGAGTCATAAGACAGGTGGAAATAAGGGTATAAAAGGTATCACATACGGTTTATATGACACAAAGGGTAGAAGTTGTAGGAAATCATAAAAGAAATAACAATAACAAACACCTGCATACAGAAGTAGCAGCAGCAACATATCTATCCAACGGTAATTTCGGAATAACAGATACAAAATCAAACCAATCAATGAAACCAAACCTTGACTATAAGAAGCTGTATATCATATAAAACATGTCAATATACTAAGAAAAAATATAATTTCAATAAAATTTAAGACAGTTGGAAACAGAGCAAACAGTGAGCAGAAGCAGTAACACATCCAAGGGGGGGTTAATCAGGGTTTTTTTTGAAAGAATTACATTATGATACATGAGTGATGAGGCAACTGAAAACAGAAAAAACATGTAATTCAATAGACCCATATATATATATATAAAAATTTGGAACAAACGCACAGAATATGAAATGTACAATAAAAGGAAAACAACCGGAAAACATATAATGAACAAAACACAGCCCCTTTCACGGCAAGGTACATTGCATATAAAAGATAGCAATATATCAACAAAAATAGAAAATTCATTTACATTTACTTCTAATACACAAAATTATTATACATGAACCAGCTGGAAACAGCACAAACATGAATAAAATCTGGC